GGCACGCCGTGGGCGGGAGCGCCCTGTCGGCCCTGGGCGGCTTCCAGGGGCTCTCGATGAGGGGAACCGGGGAGGTACGGCAGCGGGAAGCAGTTTCGGGTGTTGCTGGAAGAGCCTCTGGCCCAAGGTGCCCCCAGCTTTTCGCTCGATTTTGGAGCCCCTGGAGCCCCCTGGGCCGCGTGAGGGGTGCCCTGGAGGCCGTCTGGGCCACCGTGAGAATCCTAGGGGTACCTTGGGCCAGGGGTACTTCTAGCAACACCCGACAGTTAGTGGACGTTCCCCCGCCCCCCCGGGCTCAGAGTTGGCACGCGCGGGGAAGACTGGCGGTCCAAGTGTAGCTCATTCAACCCACCGCCGACACTGATCATTTTGGGGGGGGGCATTGACAGAAGAATGCGGCACGAGTGTTCCCCCGTTTCTTCCGAGGCCTGTATGGCAGGTTCGCGTCGTGTCTATTCGCTGCGACCCCGCCGCAAGCATTCAAGGTTGAGCGCCGCCAGTGGCCCAGAATCGACCAACATGGAACGAGCTGGCCATCGGAAAAGCGCAGTCGTTCAACACTGGACGCTACCGGCGACGCAGAGTCGGTCGGTGCTGAACGATCTGACGTTTCGGAAACAGCCGATCGTTCAAGTTTGAACGATCCCCGCGGTGTCGGGAACCAACGCCGAAATCGGCACGACACAAACCTGCCGTGGTCAGGCCTAGAGCTTGTCGTTCCTCTCCTGATTACCACAGTCGGCTTGCCCAAGCTCGAATACAGTCGAAGGCTGCTCACGGGCCTCGTGCTACGTTCCCTCGGAAATCTGTGAATATTTGGCGGGCCTGCTCGGAGACTCCCAAGGCATGGCACATTGCCAGTCGCTGGGCAGCGAATTGGTTGCCTCCCAACAGGGCAGTGCATCATTGTCGTCGAATGTTCTAGCTTGTACCATGGATCAGCCCCTCACTGAAATGATCAGCCTTTGACTGTGAGTAAGCTGGCTAGTCGGGGCTAGCGAGAACAATCGGCATCGTCGGTCCAGCAGGGCAGTCGGTCCAGTCTGGCCAAGTCGGGGCAGGAGGTAAGCCGCAATTGTCGGCGCACCAGAGAAGTGTGGCATCTACTGGCACTGCAGGTGCACCAAGGCACTAGGGGCTACTCGGGGCTAGTCGGGGCAAGCGTCTACCAGGATTGTCGGCGCACCAGTGCAGTGGGTCTCGCCTAGGCTAGTGGCAGCTGAACTGCCAGGGTTGCTGGCGCACCAGCGTGCCAGGTCAAAGTTGTTGGACAGGTCCAGTCGGGGCTACTGGCACCTACGAGAATCGTCGGCGCACCGCGGTAATAGGGCTGCTCGAGTCCAACCGTTGGCATCGTCGGCGCAGTAGGGCAGTCGGGCTTGTCTCGCCTAGTCTGGACTAGCGGCATCTACCCGGATTGTTGGCAAACCAGGCCAGCGGGGCTAGTTTGGAGCTACCACCTACCGACTGTTTTTTAAATGTTTAACTTGGCAGTTGTCGTAGCAAGCGTGACTGCAAGCGGCTGACGAGATGAACTCTTGAAGCCAATCTCCCGCAAGGGATCTTTGGGCCTACGTCTTGCCTTGCCCTCGTCAGCGAGGTTTTTACTTGTTCACAACCATCCTGTGGCGTTGGGTCCTCGTTTTGAAGAGAGCGCCCCGCGCTCCTTCCTTCCTGCGCCTTCCTCCCATCACGATCGTCATCGCCATCGACATCATCATCATCACCACCACCATCATCATCATCATCATCAGCATCATCATCATCACCATGACCATCACCATCACGATCACCATCAGCATCACCATCGTCAGCATCATCGTCATTATCGTCATCATCGTCATTGTCTCATCACCATCATCACCGTCATCATCAGCAACATCATCATCATCATCAGCATCGTCATCGTCAACATCAACATCAACATCACCGCCGTCAGCACCATCAGCATGATCACCATCATCATCATCATCATCATCATCATCATCATCATCATTATCATCATCATCGTCATCTCCATCGCTGTCATCATCGTCATCATCGTCACCAGCATCATAATCATAATCACCATCATCACCATCATCATCATCATCATCATCATCATCATCGTCACCGTCATCGTCATTATCATCATCACCATCATCATCACCATCATCCCCATCAGCTTCGGCACACCCCTCACATCGTCATTATCATCAGCATCGTCATCGTCGTTATCATCATCGTCATCATCATCAGCAGCATCATCATCGCCATCAGCTTCGTCACCAGTGGCAAGGCCCGTATGCTTCTCCCCCGCTCTTCATCGGCACACCACTGACAAGTTTTGTGGCCCCACAGGGAGCTCCACCGAAGGCGATATCTGCAACTGCTGATCTCACAACTGCATATGTTTGGGTCCTTCGCCAGGCTATTTGTTTGGCTGGCGTCCCTGTGCGTTCTTCAAGTCGACTAGTCAGAATTATATGTTTGTTTAGTCGACAAGGGTCGATTAGTCCTTCATAGCGCGCGCGCGGGGGGTAGATGTCGGGCTAGTGGGCACACGCTGCACCTTCGTCACAGCATGACAGTGAGGCTGGTAGTTAGCTGGGACTCGTGGCAAGTGCTGGGGTTATTGGCGCGTCAAGGCGCTTAATCGAAGCGATTGACTGGCGGGCGGAGTCCAGCGGCTGAAAGCATTGCATACACAAAGATATGCAGTTCACAAGGATATGCAGTTCGGTTTCTACGATCGGTTCGCTGTAATCCGATGATGCACGATTGTGCAACATATCTCGGGTGGACGCTTCAGATGGGCAATTTCCACACGATGAACTCGGATAAATGCATGCCGAGAACATGACGGTGTTGCTAGGAAGACGAAATTCATAAACAAGCGGGGGGTCCTCCTTTCCTGTGCAATAGTGCGATGCCTGATTCTATGTTATGGTGGTGAAGTATCGGCTCAGGCAGTTGACATGGAAAACCAATTATGGCAGACACGGCGCCAGATGTTGCGCATGATGCAGCTCGCGCCCAGGCGCACAGCTCTGAGCGATCTGAGGAAACGCTTGGACGGTTACAGGTCGCAGACTGGATGCGGATTGACACAATAAGTATGCAATTCGGGCACCCACGAGTGGACATCACGGTCACAGCACGTTACAGTGAGCGAGTCGCGGTGCGGACAGGGACACCATAATCAAATTGCTGTCCGACGATATCCAACTGCCAGTGCTTGCGCTGACAAGTCGGAAACACGTGAGCGCCCCTTTGTAGACAGGGTACCGCCCGATGACGTTATGCGAGAAGAAGTTAGGATGTTGTTTGTTCAGCTTGCCACACGACTGGTGCTAAGACATGCGCCTCCGATGCCTTAGTCGGCGTCAGTTGTAGACTCGAAGTCTGCAGTGCAAAGCTAGCTGGGAATAGCGAGCAAGCATATTCTAGACGCCTCGCGTAGTCCTACCAGCCCATTCAGAAACCATGCCCAGGCGAGTTGCCTTGATCGGGCATGTCGGGGAGCACGCAGTGGAATTAAGGCTGGGCAGCCGTCATACCCGAAGAGGGGGAGCGTGGAGGAGAAACTGGAGGAGGAGGAGGAGGAGGAGGGGGAGGGGGAAAAGGGAGAAGGGAGGAGGAAGGAGGATAGTTAGGTGGATGAGGAAGAGGAAGAGGAGGAGGGCGAACAGAAAGGCCAGAGGCCTACTGGATGCTTCTCGGAGACTCTTGAGAGCTTCTTGTAGGCCTGTTGGGGCGCCTTGGGGGCCTCGTGGCAGTCCCGGGGGCCTCTTGAAGCGTCTTGGGTGCCTCGGAGGAGCCTCTTCGGGCGTCTTGGGGTCTCTTGGGAGTGAGTCTCTTGGTGGCATCTTGGGGGCCTCTTGGGGGCCTCTTGGGGGCTCCTGGGCACCTCTTGGGGCCCTCGGCGTCTTGTGATGTCTTGGAGTTGCTTAGTCAATGGCCCAATCGTGTTGTTCAGGAGCCGATCTCGCAGTCATAAGCTTTAGGCCGGTGCTCAAGCCGGGCACACAGAGCTACAGACAAGAATACACACAGTCCGGCGCACAACGTGGGGGTGCTTGATTGCGAAGGCGACGATAAAGAAACAACAGCATCACATTTGTTCACGTCTACACGTTCGCGTCGTAGTGTGATTCCGCTTCTCATCACAGAGGGGTTCCAATTAGGGCCCCCGCCCGGGAGGTCAAAACTGGGCTAAAACCTTGGTAACATCAGTGATCTTGGCCTTCTCGCCGAGGCCATCTTGGAGGCTCTGAACCCCAGCGACCCCCTCGCCACGGTCTAGGGCCTAGGGGAGGGAGTAGGGGGAGGAGCCAAGAGACACCCCCTAGATTGCAAGCCGTCTAGCTCACTCTCACCCACCCTCCCAACAAATAAGTGACACCCGAGCCTCAGCATGTTCAGCGGTCGTCTTTGGAAGGGCAGCTACTGGGAACCAGAGACGACCAAATGTGCGCGACGCTGGGGCGATGTGCGCCACACGTGCCAGGCGCGCCACGCGCGCCAGGCACCCTTGTGGCCCGAGAGTGCCAGGAACGCCTGTTGCGCCAGATGTGCCGCTTGCGCCGGGTGTGCCGCATACTCCAGCCGCGCCAGGTGCGTCACGTTCGGGGCACGTGCAGAGCGTGTCAGGTGCGCCTGTGCACGTGACAGCACACATCGGGAAACATGTCGGCCCCCCACCATCCTTGTCGAACAGCAATGCCCATCATTGTGTCTGGTGGGCCTGCGCACAGCAGGCCATACGCCACCACCTCTGCCGTCCATGTCAAAAACCACTTGGCAGTGATCGCGGGGTGGCCGCACATGATCCAGATGTAGCCGCGCGGTGTTTTTTGTATTGTTTGTTGTTAGGGATGGTAGCCTTGCGCGCAGCAGGCAGCATGCTGACATCCCCGCCGTCCCTGTCAAAAACATTGCGAAGTGTCCGCGGGCGTCACGAACATGACTCAAGACTTTGCCGCAAAGTGTAGTTTGTATTCTTTTTTTGACAGGGATGG